ACTACTCTTTGATGTTATTGTGGCCGTTACTCTGGTCAATGTTGTTGACTACCCTGTATGATGAATTAAGAAATATACTAATATATATACTAATACCAGGCGTAACGAACGAAGATAAAGTAGGCACATTCCGTCATGAGATAAGGTGGATGTAGATTTCATTAGTGATATACGAAAATTTCAAAAATCCCCGTTTATCAGAAGGCAACCCCGTGGTTTTATGACGGCCAAGGAAATTCAGAAGCCCCCCAACGACTTTCTCATTAGCAATCCATCCCCAGGGGGGATTCCATGTTGATTTATACTCTACGTAATACACCAACAACATCACTAGTTGGAAATGCTGCTTTTGATATTAGGCCAGATAAATAATCTAGGATGCTTTGAACGCTAAAGGTCGATAGAATGAAAGATAAACGTCTTTTGTTATTTTCACGACTAAGGGCGAAGGGAAACGTAGCAAAGTAGATGTTACTTATGTTTTGTGACATGACAATGTCGTGGAGGTTCAAAATAAGAATTTCTCGAGCTTCTGACAAAAATCAAGCTTTGTAAGATATAATGGAAAGATGAGTTTAGGACACCTTTACGTTAGACGTTTGCCACTGTATAATTAGATGAATAGACATTCAAAATGTCTAATTAAGAAATATGGTGGATCTCTCCTAGCGAGTCTTGTAATAACGGGACACGAAAATTAAAATTTTGCGTTGGAAAACTTTAGCCCTTTGCGGCCTACTGGTTGTCTTGAATAAACAATCGATAGTTAATCCTGATCATATTCTGACGTTACCACGTCCATTGCTGATTACCTATGATTTCGGATCTTTATCAGCAGTAAAAATATCTCAGTAGAGTTGATGGAAAGACAGGTAGTCACACGCACCTGTTGAGAACGTTCAACTTGAGACGAGAGAGTTCGTATCAAGTACCTCAAAGGTTCATTTTGTTGAATTCCATAAATGGGAAGTTTTAGCTGCTTACTCATTTGAAGCTAACCAATGTAAAATTAAAAAGAACCTTCACGAAAATATTCATTTTTTCTTGCACATTCATATGCTGATATACAGGGTGTCCCATTTTAATCTGCCCACCAAAATATTTCGAAACCGACCATCCTAGAGAAATAAATTGCAAATAAATGTTGGAGGACTTCGAAGGGGTAAAATGATGGTGACTTTGTTCATGACCTTGACATCGAACTTCAAGGCCATTCCAAATCCAAGCGGATATTTTAAAATGGATTTTTCCCTTTTTTTACATCCAAAAGTGGAAAGAGGTAGAAATTATACGTTCGAATGTGACCTTAACCATGACTCTCAAAGCATTTTCAAGCTTAAAAAAGTCAGTGAAAATAATGTGCTCTAGGAAAAATGTTCGGCAGCACAGTTGTGAGGTTTTTGGGGGATACCTTAGATAGCTTGACCATAACCCTGACCATGCCTTGCAAGGGCGAGTGAAAATATTCAAAGGAAACCCTTCATTTTTATCTCGGTTTTAGAATGTCAACTTTAAACTTCATTTATGAGGCAACCCTTTGATTCCCATGTTAAAAATTGTAGAAAGCAAGAAATTTTATATTTTCACGTTAAAAAAGATCATATATACTTTTTTCTCGTTCTTATTCTGATGTAAATGAATGAAAATATTCGTTGACCCTGAAATGACCTCGAAAGTTGCTCTCAAAGTCATGGCCAAGGCTACCATCCGTTTGCTCCTTCCAAACTCTATACCTTTGTTTGAAACTTTTTTCTAGCATGCGTAGTTAATATCTAGGTGGGACACCTGAATAATAAGAGCTGGCTACAGCATATCCTCCAGGATAACGTCCATTCATATACCGCATGTTATAGTGAGTATTACACCTGAGGCATCACAGAGGTGTTGCTCGTAGGACCGATTTAGTCTTACCGTGCGAGGATATCTTAATCAATGTTGTTACCGGTCCAAATCCAAATGCTTTCTGATTCATGATTTAGGCATCATTAACCCCATGTTGCAATTTATGATAACCGAGTGTATAATCCTGGTGATGACATAATGTACGATATTAGAGGGGTCATTTTATATTCACTAGTACTAATTCAATTAATCTCCAATATAAAATGAATGATTTCGTTATAGAAATATGAAGCTGGACACGAATAGTTGATGTTCAAAAGTATTGGAAATATTATCAAACATGTGTAGCTGCACTCTCGACTAAGCCTTGGTTAAATAAGGTGCGGAGACCACAAATCCGGTGTTTAGTGTTAAGTTAAGATTGTAAACCGGGTTGTCATCTCCTAAAATACAAAAGACGGACTTGGCTTTGTATTTGGTGTGTAATATAGTCCTTAAAGCCTTACTTTATCTTCTCCACTAGCAAAAGATAACTTTTGAAAGCCGAATACAAGGCCGGATCTAGTCTTTGAGTCAGGGGGTAACTTAATCACAGTGGAGGATTTAGGAAGCTGTCTAAAGTGGGGAGTAGTAGTGACTACAGGATTGTTGTGAGACCGAAGGCCGGGGGTGGGGATAGGTGGCGACGGGTGGCTGCAGAAGTGCCTCTGATACCCACTGCCCTCTCTTGTGATGATTGAAGAGCAGAGGGGGTAGCGATGTTGGCAGGTCGATCTTGATTACGATCACGACCCCTTTCCCTTGATCCGCACTTGGTCGAACATACATTAAAATTAACATAATTTCAATAATAAAGGAACTACCAGGTGTGAAAATTAAGTTATGAGACTCGCAGTGTAGCGTCCGATCTGGCAATAATGGAATCGCCGGGCTTGGAGGGGGGATAGGGGAACATGTAATCTGCCTTCAGTACAAGTGACATTTGGTTGTCCGTAGCGAATTTTTTTGTAAAACAGCTTTATTATTGTGTTCTAAAAATGAGTGATAACAATTTCAAGCAACGGTGTGCTATCAGGTTTTGCTCCAGACTTGGGCTCAGTGCAATGGCAACTCTTGCTCAACAAGCCTACGGAGATAGTGTTTTGTCAAGAGGCCTGATTTTTCATCTTCAAGAATCGATTTAAATATCGAAAGAATCAGGGACCTTGTACGTTCAGATCGTCGCGCGTCTGTTGAGAGTCAGAATGATCGGGGAAGGGTTAAATTTGATTCACACCACCGTTCATCAGATCAAGAACAACTGGGCCTTGCATCACGATAATGCTTCTTTTCTCACAGCAACGTCAATAATCTAGTTTTTGGAAAGTAAAACATTCCTATGGCTCATCAGCTTCCTTATTCGCCTGACTTGATTCCTTATAAATTTTTTTCTTCCCGAAATTGGAAAATAATGATAATAGTCGTCTATACTAACTAAATTGGCTAAGTTTAGCATTCGCTACTATTACACTTAACCAGTTAGCGATTGGTAACACAATACAGAAATTTATGTACTATCCTGAGGAAAAAAAACAGACAAGAACAAGATCAAAAAATGTGTAAATCAAGAATTACATGTACATCATAAAATATAGAAATGATGAGATTAAGTGGATAGTGAATTTATAAGCAAATTAATTTTGTTGCGGAATGCAGACAAAGAATATGACTTATACACTTCAGGTATTGGATTATACCTGATAGCTAAATTATGCGAAAAAATCCGCTAAAATAATGTTGTTTTGTGCGGTGGAACTATTATAATTTTGTGTCTTAACGGTCCAGTGTGCACATCCTTACTAAAAACAATTCTTTCTCTGAGGTATAAGTGCTTTCACGTATGCTACAATTTATGTATAAAAATTAAATTAATAGTGATAGTTTATTATATTCTCAAATTTCATCCACTTCAATATTTGGTAATTGGCTGGAACAAATTTTCGTTATCCAAAAATGAACCGTAGACAATTATTTTGAATGATTTGGATGATGTGTTTTGTAAAGCAATCTAATGACAATATCACAGTAATTTAAAACAGATATGACTAAACTCTCGCACAGTTTTTTGCGAAGTTTAAAATTCAGTAAATACCGACTTGCTATAAGAATAAGTAACCTGAGATACGTTTTTTTGGGACAGACTCTTCACATGTTCAACAAACCTCATTTTAGTGTCAAAAACTACTCAAAGTTTTTTGCAGACTCGGGAAACTGTCAAACTTCATTACTTATCAAAATCTTTAAGTTAGAAGAAGCAGCATTTTTCATTTTTTCATTACAAAACAATAATATTTTGAACTTTTCTGGATATATTTTGAGGTTGTGATTAGAAAATATTGTATCAAATTGTTAACATCGCTTTGTACATTTTTTTTGTACTTGCTACCTCATTTGGATTAAAACTATGCATTATCTGAGTATCATCTGCAAATGATTGAATAAGGCAGTTATTTATCGTTTTGTTTAAATCAAAAGTACAAATTAAAAATAGTAGAGGTCCTAATTTAGAGCCTTGAGGCACACCATAAGGTATCACTGATGTTGAGGACAATCTTTGGTTTAATAAAACACATTGAGTTCGACCGTAAAGACAATTTAAAAAAACAGTTATTGCTTATTTATCAAGATCAATATAACTAACTTTCATAAGTAAAAGCTCCTGGTTAATACTATGAAAAGCCTTATAGAAGTCAATACATACAAGAGTCAGTGCCATTTTTGTATAGGTCATTTTAAATACTATCCTGAAGATTGAGGAGAGCGGAGGTTGTTCCATAATTCTTTCTAAAGCCAGATGGGGTGTTGGGTATTGTAATGTCCCGCTTCTTGGAGTGTTTTACGGCTCACCAACGCCACAACACCTGAACAATCGTCCTTCGCACAACCGCTCCGCTCGAGTGTCGGTTTTCGACTGCCCAGTGAAGTAGGCGCATGAGACAACCAAGCAACACTTTATCTAGTCAATACACTACATCCCTTTTTTGTTTTATTTGTTTTTATTGACTATATCTCTCTTAATACTTATACAATGATTTATATACATACATATATATATAATGGATTTTACATGAATCAAACATAATTAATGGAATTAAAAGTTTTATGTAGCTACACTAGGGTTAAGTTCCGACATTCATTTCCTCGTCGTTAATTTCATTTTGATCTTGGCAGACACTCCATTCCCCTTGAACTCTTTTCAAATGTACAACGTTCCTTCTTCGAATTTGACCGGTTTCATCGCTTCTTACCTTGATATCTCCTCCTTTCGTGTTTTCCACTGTGTGTGTTTCTGGATTGTAGTCTAAGCTTAATTTATTTTCTTTATTCACATTTTTTATATACACTTTGTCTCCTGGTATTAAATCACACTCTTCAGCCTTCCGTTTCATGTCTCCCTTTTCTTTTCCTATTTGCTTTCTTTCTTGATCTCTATCCTTAACCTCTGTGTCTTGTACTGTCCTCTCCATTGTATCGTTTACCATAGGTAATTTATCTCTAAACTTCCTTTTGAAGAAAAGTTCTGATGGGGTTCTTCCCGTAACAGAATGTGGTGTGCTGTTGTACATGGTCAAATAATCCAGCAAACTTTCTTTCCAGTCTTTATTTTCAGCTATACTTATTTTCAGACGTTTAAGTATGTCACGGTTCTGTCGTTCAACCTCTCCATTTTGTTGCGGCCAATATGGTACTGTATTGAAGGATGATGTTTCTTTCGGTTAGAAATGACTTAAACTCTTCGCTGATAAATTGCCTTCCATTATCTGCAGTTATTGAAATTGGATTTCCTAATCGACTGAATATTTCTTTAAGTTTGGCTACAATTTCAGTAGAGGTAATTTTACGACAAATCTTCACTTCTTTATATCTGCTGTAATAATCGACTACAACAAATAGATGGTCACCACTTGGAAGGGGACCCATCAAATCAATTGCAATATCAATCCAAGGCCCTTCTGGCAACTCACGCCGTTTCATAGGGTTTGGTGTACATGGTGCAGATACAAGAGTACATCCTCTACATGCTTTTACCGTATTCTCGGCCTCTTTGTCGCATCTAGGCCACCAGACTTTCGTGCGAAGTCTTGCCTTCATTGACACGATACCGGGATGTCCCTCGTGAGCTGCATCCAAAACTCTTTTACGGAGTGCCGAGGGAACTACAATTCTCATTCCTCTCAATAATATACCCTCGTGGAAACAAAGTTCATTTTGAAAGATTTTATACAACTTCACGTCATCGTTCCATATGTTCCGATATAAACCCTCTTTCACATTCCGTATTTCCCTATCGTCCATTGAGCTATCTATTATTTCTTTAAGAGAAACAGCACGAGGTCGGGCAAACTCTACAATTTGGCAAATGTGATTGTCCTCTAGTTTTATCAGGGATTTCTCCGCACTTCTGCTTAGTCTAGACAATGAATCTGCGATATTGGTTTTTCCTGGTTGATAAACTATTTTATAGTCGTACGATTGTAAGCGCATAACCCATCTCTCTATCCTCGCACATGGTTTAGATTTAGGACCAAATATTACTTCCAACGGTTTGTGGTCTGTTATGAGTTCAAATCTTTTACCATAAAGGAATATGTGGAAATGTTCCACTGCCCATACAAGAGCTAGCGCTTCTTTTTCTGTCTGGCAATAGCGGCGTTCACAGTCAGTCAAAGTTTTGTGGCCATATGCAATAATCCTAGGCTCACCTTTGGAATTAGTTTGAACTAAAACTCCGCCCAAACCCACAGGACTAGCATCTGCTATGACAATCGTACGATCGCTAACATTATAATACCCTAAGCTAGAAATATTTGACATGATTTCTTTCAACGACTCAAAACATGACTTTTGTTCTGATCCCCAGTTTTCGGTTATGTCCGTTCGATTTCCTGTTTTGTTTCTTAGTAGGATTTTAAGAGGTTCTGTTACCGTGGCATAGTTGGGTATCCATTTGCTCACAAAATTAACGAGACCTAGAAAACTTTGTAGCTCTCCGGTAGTTTTAGGTGCTCTAAATTCTTTTATTGTGGAAATGTACTTTTTTAATGGTCTTACCCCTTCTCCTGACAGCTCATGTCCTAGAAAACTCACTTTTTCCATTCTAAAACAGCATTTGTCATTTCTTATCACTACGTTATTTTCATTTAAAACAGATATTACTTTTTTTAATCGCAAATCATGTTCAAGCGAGTCCTTTCCGTATATCAAAATGTCGTCAATGTAATTTACCACACCTTCACATCCTAAAAGCATGCGTTCTAATGTTTTCTGGAATATTTCTGGGGCACACGATATACCAAACATGAGTCTCTTATACCTGAATAAGCCTTTACTGGTTATAAAGGTGGTTATGTGTCTTGAAGCCGGATCTATTTCAAGTTGGTGAAATGCATCTTTAATATCCAATTTTGTAAATACCTTCGCATTTTTCATTTTAGGCAGCAGCTTGTCCATTGTCGGCAATGGGTGATTTTCACGTATAATGGCTTCATTAGCCCGGCGCATGTCAATACAAAGACGTACTTCTCCATTTTCTTTCAGCACCGGCACAACAGGGGACACCCATTTAGAAGAACCAACTACCGGCTCTATAATATCCCTTTGTTTAAGTTCTTCAATTTTGTTTTCAATTTTTGCCTCTAAAGGTATAGGGATCCTCCTAACATGAAACAGTAAAAATAATACATCAGTAATAACACTAATAACCTTTTAATGAATGATAATTATAACAATGTAATAAAGCAATGTGTGTTATGAGGGTAACAATCAACATTTCAGATCGAATAACTATCAATGAACATTACACACATATTTATCAAAATACAATTTAAATCAGTACCTGTAAGGTTGTGATACGGGTGGGATTGAATGATCGATTGGCAAGTGGATTGATACATCTTTAAATTTGGGGAAAATCTGGTAATCTACTTGATTAACTTCTGCATCCAATCCAATTCTCAAAACTCCTAATGCTATTGCCGAAGTTTTCCCTAAAAGATTTCTAGTGCCATCGATAACAACATAGAAAGTTGAGTTTTCGGATCTTACTCCTACTTTAATCTGAGCCTCGAATGATCCTTTTATCTTCAGTGGTGTAGGGCTACCATAAGCCATAAATGTAACATCGGGATTTGGAAGTTGATTATACACATTAACTTTGTTTTTCTTTAATTTTTCCCAAGTTCTTTCCGTAATCAAATTCTGTTTGCAGCCCGAATCAATCAGCATCTTAGTTTGTACTCCTCCAATAGTGCACTTAATTTCCACATCGTCATCAATGTGGAAAACATACTCAGTTTCTTCCTCCTTATGGGCTGTGTTGTTAGAAGAGTCACCCACTTCGTTAACTTCATTCTTCTCCCTGTCAAAACGACCTTTCTTTTGTTCATGTCTATATTCCCTATCCACTCTCCGCTTCAATGTCTGTTTCGTTCGGCAGTATTGTCTGAAATGCCCCTTAAGACCACACTTTAGGCATTCTTTGTCCCTTGCTGGGCAGCTTTCATCATTCCCAGCATGTCTAGGATTACCACATCTACCGCATCCATGTTGAACATTCCTTGATTTATCAAAGTTCCTTTTAAATTTACTATCCATCCTGTTTACTTCTTGATTCTCATTTGATCTAAGTGGGTTTTTGAACTCTTCCAATTGTTTATTAACAACTTCAAGGGTATTTGCTTCGGTGATTACTTGCTCTAATGTAATGTCATCTCCAATTTTTAGTATCTTTTTCCTCAGTTCAGGTAGGAAACATTTTTCTGTTATCTGGTCAATAATGTTCCCTTCCCTGTCGGCAAACTGACATTTGTCGGCTTGTTTCCTCAATCGCAAGACAAATTTTTCGAATTTTTCGTCAGGTTCTTGTTTAAGGAGCCTGAAAATGTGTCTCTCGAACACTTTGCTTTGTCTTGGTGCAAAGTACGCATCAAGTTTTGATATCGCTATTTCAAAAACGTCTACGCCTTCGGCTGGTTCCACGTTGGCCCCAGGAATGTTATAGAATACTTCCTGCAGGTCTAGCCCGCCGAAATGTAGAAGGGAGGCCCTTTTCTTGATGTCTCTGTCAATATTAGCCGCTTCGAGGTAGATGAATAGCGCTCGCTTCCATCGATCCCATCGTGCACCCACTGAGGTAGATTCCCCGTTACACTCAAACTTTTCTAGTGAAAGGTGTGACATCTTTGGGCGACCTGGAATAATCAATTTAATGATTCAGATATCTATGTATCTGTAGTTAGATTTTATCTTAGATGCTTCCATCTCATATCAATTTAATGATCGGATTATAGTTTTTATCCGCATAAATCTACTTAAGCCGTCCATACCGGCAAACGTATAAATTTAATTATCAGATTTTAATCTGCTAATTTAGTACCTACGAACCTCATACAATAATAATTTTATTGTAAGGCTTTTGTTTATGATATCAATTTAATGATCAGTTCGCTTCCAACTGCTTTGAGTAGATACTCCCTTCTATTTATCAGTACCTATTAATCACGACAACATAGTTTTAATCAATTTAGGGAAACAGATCCAATTTAATCTGCGTTAGTTTTGGTACCTACCGATCTAACGGTCACCGGTTGTCTTTAAACCTTGCTATTTTTGTAAACAAACAGGTACATGACTAAAATACAAGCATAATACAACATATTTCTCCCACTACGTAGGTAGGTATTACAAAACATCTTACATTTAATGTACTCGTAGTTTAACCTAGCTGAATTCATAAGTATTCATTTGTTTACTTGCACCGTATCGCCATTTTTCCCATTTGTTTTTGCTCACTAATGTGTACTTACTATTTTCCTCGTCGCCACATGTAATGTCCCGCTTCTTGGAGTGTTTTACGGCTCACCAACGCCACAACACCTGAACAATCGTCCTTCGCACAACCGCTCCGCTCGAGTGTCGGTTTTCGACTGCCCAGTGAAGTAGGCGCATGAGACAACCAAGCAACACTTTATCTAGTCAATACACTACCTACAGGTATTATACTGTATTTCAAGATATGTGGAAATTTGTAAATTAACTATTTTCTCCAACACTTTTGACAGAACGGTCTGAGGTCAGCTAGGTCGGATGGATTGGCTTTTTTGAGAACATTCAAGAAAGCTCATTTGAAACATTCAAATGGCTGTAACCGACCAGCTGAAGGCTATTCCAGTATCGGAGTTCCAGACCTGCTATGAGGAGTGGAAGAACCGTCTCCAGCGCTGTCTGGCTTCAGAAAGGAGTTATTTTGAGGGTAAAGATATAAAATAGTAATTATAATTGGTTAAAAAATTGAAAAAGATCGGTTTCGTCACTTAATTTTTAGACGTCGTATGCTAAATACCGCACGATTATACGAATACTGACGAGACAAAGAAGCCTACCAAAACCCGGATAAGCCAGACGCATAAACATTCGTCCGCATAGGATCAAAAAATGAAAAGATATAGTCAAGTAGGTTGACTCTGGACTTCCAACGTCAAACACATCCATACAATTAGTTCATAGACATTCTTTCCCTGGCCAAATGGTATTGCATCTGGAAATGGCTATTCTTCCCGATACCCAT